TTATAAAAATGTTAAAGAAAAATAAAATTTATTTTTCATTTTCCTTTTCAGTCTGAGCATTGAAGAGGCAGTTGGCTATGGAAATGGTAACATTTCAGGCTGTCGGGCAGGTAAGGGAGGTCTCTTTTCTGAAGCCACCCGTCCAGAACATGGTCTGTGAAGGAATCTGGCCGCATCAGGAAGTGGTGGCTGTTGTTCTTGTTTTCACATGAGTTTTATTTTCAAATTCCTGAGGGCGTGCAGAAGGGTGGGAACATCTTGTGGCTACCCTTTCCCCGAAGGCCAACTTCAGAGCAGCCAGACACCAGCCACTGCCTCGGGTCACATTCCAGACAGGCTCTTATAAGACACGGAGCACCGTGATTAAAAGGAAACTAATCCATCATTAGACGCCAGATCTAATATCAGCGGGACAATTTTTCGTGGAAATTATTTCTAAAACCAAACTCCACTGGAAGGCAGTTTTCACTTTATATTTTAGATTTCCTTTCTCCTAATCTTTTCTATTTTCACTGAAAAGAGTGGGGCTCCAGATGGGTAGAATGGGCAGGGAACCACCACTCTGTAGGAGCAAAGACTTGGAGATGGAAAGTCATTGGAACCTGGTCATGAGATCAATCAGAGCCACTGAGTGACTTGCTTTCTTTACCTTTCTCCAAGAATGGTTAGTTGACTCTGAGTTTCAGAACGGATTTCTGTTTTTCTGCCATTTGGCCCTGCCTAAAGTAGCAGAATGCTTCCCCCAAAGAACCCCTTGCATCCCAGGACAGCATCTGAGGGATGGCTTATGGTTCCCCATCCTCTCTCCTATACATCTTCTAAAAGCACCTGCAAAATGCACCATGCTCAGCCTCCCTGTGGTCCTCCCAGACCCAAAATACACTGTGACAATAGAAATGAGGCATATTCAAGTGGAAAAATTATAAGACAGGCAGGTTTATCTCCAGTCACAGGTGGTCTGAAGCAAAGGAAGGTTCCTCCCCAACTGGGAGGGGAAGAGAGTTAAAGATTCAATTCAGGCTCCACCACCCTTGGGATGCCCAAGTCCCCCCACCCTCCCACCCCGTCAGCCCCGTGCTGTCTGGCCTGGGAAAGGACTCAAGGAACAAAGGCACCATGTGCAGAAGCCACAGGCTGGGAACGAGGCTCTCTCCTCTCCTCACTCTGGGCTCCATGGCTGAGGGCTGGCAGCGACAGGATCTGATGATCCCCCAAACCTCAGTAATCAGGATAAATAATAACTTAAAGCACTGTTTTTAAAAATCAAAAGGGATGCAAAACTAAACACAGTCTTCCAATATGACTCAGCAAGGGAAACCCTTGGTATCTACCTAGGGGAGTGAAAAGTGATATCCACAATAAAACCTGCACAGGAATTTTTGTTGTTGTTGTTCAATTTCAGATTGATATGAGGGTACAAATGTTTAGGTTACATTGTTTTCATTTCTAAGGTAAGTTCTAAGTCCAAGTTGTAGTTGAGTCCTGCACCCAGGGGGCTGCTGAACAGCCTCACATTGTGCATATTAGGTGAGATCCTGCCATCACCCTCCCTCATCCCCCTTCCCCCTTTCTCCTCTCCTCTCCTCCTTGCTGTGTTTTTCTTTTGAGTAGGCTTGTAGTCATTTATACATCGGTTTCATAATAATATTGAGTACACTGGATACTCCCCCCTCCCATTCTTGTGATACTTTACTAAGAAGAATGTGTTCCAACTCCATCTAGGTAGACACAAAAGATGTAACGTCTCCATCTTTCCTTATGGATGAATAGTACTCTGTGGTGTACATATATCCCAGTTTGTTAATCCATTCATGGGTGGACGGGCACTTGGGTTGATTCCACATCTTGGCAATTGTCACGACCTCCTTCAGTAGGTGAATGGACAAATAAATTGTGGTACATCCAGACAAGAGAGTAGTATTCAGATGCTGGAAAGAAATGAGCTAGCAAGCCACGAATAGCCATAGAGGAAGCTTAAGTGCATTTTGCTAAGTGAGAGAAGCCAGTCTGAAAAGGCTACATGCTGTAGGATTCCAACTATATCATGTCCTGGAAAAGGCAAAACTATACAGACACTGAAAAGATCAGAGGTTGTCAGGGATGAGGGAACGGAGGGGCAGACAGCAAAGCACAGGACTTTTAGGGCAGCGAAACCCCTCTATGACACTGTCATGGTAGAATCACAGCATCTTCCATCTGTCCATACCCACAGGGTGTACAACGCCAAGAGTCAACTCTATTGTAAACGACGGGTCCTGAGTGATGATGATGTGTCCAGATGGGCTAGTGGATTATAACGACTGTGCCACCCTAGTGGGAGAGATATGGACAGTGGGGGAGGCTGGGCTTATGTAGGGCTGGAGCTACTTGGGAACTCACTGTACTTTCTGCTCAATCTTGCTGCAAACCGAAAATTGCTCTCAAAAAAAAAAGTCTTTAATTAAAAAAAAAAATCCATGATGAACAGACAGTCAAAATTTTAAATAAAGACAAGATATTGTGGGAGATGTTAAAAGTCTGTGGCTTAGGACAAAATGACAAAAAAAAGATACAATGACAATGTACCGGTGCCAAAAGATACCCTGGGTTTCCAAATGGCACCCAAAGTGGGTTTCCAGGAGGTCACAACTCAAAGTGTCTGGGCTATAGCCCCAGAGGCCCTGTGGAGTCACAGCTGCACTTCTGGGCCACCCAAGAGCTGGGAGACACTGCTGCTCATGGCCCCAGCTGTCTGGGGAGCATTGCTGGTCCCTGTGTGTCTTGTGTTAAATAAGGCCAGGCACACGGGGTGTTTCCCAGAGACGAGGCTGAGGAAGGCCCTTGGGAGGGAGATTGCATTTAGACTCTCCGTGACTCAGACTTTGCTCTTTATTTCCCATCCAGGCTCAACCGGATTACACCATAAAAGCCAGGTGCAGGCAGGAAGGATGTTTCCAAATTGGCCACAAAAGGATGGTCAAGGCCAGACTTATCTTCTGGGAACATGGCTCCCCTCGCTTTGGAAAGAAACATCTGATTTCTCTGCTCTGCTCTCCTCTCACTGTGTTCCTTTGTTTCCATCCAGGAGTTGTGAAAAAATCATAGGCCAAAAAGTCCCCTTCCTAGAGACGGCAGAATAAACAGCTCAGATACACTTTTTTCTGCTGGCTGTGACAGTGACTGCCAGTATTTTACAGCAAGGGGGGCTGAGAGCAAAGTGGAGTGCTCTGCAGAAGCACAGTCACCTCTGCACAAAACCACCTGCCACCCTTAGAAATCCCCTGGGTAAGGCTGCTGCAGCTTCTGCAGCCTCTCTGTTCCAAGGCTCAGTCCCCGAAGTTGGCCAGTGTCTGGCTGCGCTACCAAACAACTACTCTTGGCTGCCAGGGGAAATTCCTGCCTTCAAGACAAAGGATCTATTATCCAACAGACCCGAGGTTCCCCAGGTCTGGGAGAAGGTGAATAGGCATTTATTCTTATCTTCATTTTACTCCACGAAGTAGAAGCTATCTTTACAGAGACCTGAACTTTATTCATTTCCTCCACAGCACAAAGGAGAAATTCTCTCCCTGCCTGGCTCCTGCCTTGAGTGTGGTTGGTGTTGAGAAAGCACCAGTTTCTTTAATTCAGATGGAAAGCCCCAGTCTGGGGGCAGTGTGGAAAGCCTCAGTCATCCTGACATTGTCCCAGCCCTGTGTGTTCCTCGGGTACATCTCACTCCTGTGCGGTCCTCTACCTTCATTCATACAATGGCACTGACCCAACTGGTGACCTGGACTTCCCCCACTCCATTTAATAAACTGTGTGAGCTCAAACAAATGCACATACACACCCACACACAAAAGCTGATTTTCTGCGGCTGCCTTCTCTCATTTGTAGAGTAAGGACCCTAGATTATAACCCAAGTATACAAAATTTAATGTTAAATATTAATAATGCAAATAATAAAGTTATATTATACACACACACACACACACACACACAGGGTGGACATAAAGTTCCTGTGCAATTTAAAATAGTTGTGACTTTAAATTGTACATGAATTTTATGTCCACCGTGTGTATGTGTATGTGTCAATACATATATATCTTTTTTAGGAAGCTAGGATAATGTCTGAACTCAGTCTGTTCAGGCTGTCATCTGGAATTGAGGAAGTGGAATCAGGGCATCTTCTCACAGGGCATTTGTTCAGTTGTACATGGCAGAAGCCAGTTATCTTCTGCATGGGCCAGACTCTGAAGACTCTCTTTCTGTCTCCTCTTACCGACAACGCCATTGGTCTGCACAAATGTCTGAACTTTTAACATGACGATGAAGCTTAGGAAATACCAGACCAGTCAGCCAACCAGTCTAAATCCTCATGACTTGTACATTTTGTTAAAGGGCCAACATAGAAATACAAAACACAAAGGAGAATAGAAAGGAAATAGCTAATATAGAAAGAAGAACATGGCATATGGTAGAGGTAGCACGCATGCCTGTGCATTCTGGAAAAGCTGGTGCTATATACACCAAGCCCCTCTCTCCTTTTACAAGGTGCTGGGAACAGTCTAGTGTTAGTGGCTTTCATTAACAGCCATGGAAGTCGACCATCTTGTCCCTCCTGGTCCTAGAGCCATTCATTCATACCCTTTGCTGGACAGCCAGATGGGCGGGACGGAGCTGATGCAAACCCACGTCACAGGGTACACCCCACAACCATCCAGGCTTCTGGGACTGGAAAGGAGGTTTGCCTGGTCTATTCTCTACCTAGCACCAGGAACACAGGCACCTCTTGGCTGAAATTGCTCATCCTGGTCAGTTCCGAATGTGCACAAGCCCCTAAGACAGCTGGGACTGGACCTGCTTTCTCAGCGGGCAAATTCTTCCCGCTTGATATTAAACCAATGGAGTTTCCCAGTTCTGGTGTTTTCACGAAACAAAAGCAAGTTAACATTGAATGTAGGTAGCTGTTCAGAAGTATAAAAATGCACACAAAAGCAGCAATAAAGAGGCATCAGAAACTGCCTTCTGAAGCTCACCTAGAGATCTTTCTTTCGTCTGGTTGGTTGACCTCACCACGGGAAGGCTCGCTCGAGTCCGGCTGCCTCTGGAAAAAGGGCTTGGAACGTCCCCCTCAGACATGGCTTCCAAAGAATCGCCTGACGTCTCTGATAAATGTTCCACCGGGTCACCCAGAGTGGGAGGTTGAGGACTATGAGACAGTTTGGGGCTTCTCGTCTGCAAAAGGCATTTTAAAGAAAGTGGATTATTACTGATTATGTTGAAAATATTTGCAGTGTTGTATCTGCCCATCTGAAAATGTAATATGGCAAAAGGGCAAAAAGTCTATCGATCAAGGACAGAAAACTTAAGACCCCAGGGTGTGAAAGTAACAGTCGTGAAAGTTACAGAAAAAACAATATTGTCCCTTCCTATCCCATCAAGACTTTTATCACCAGACTTCTATGGCACAAACACCATTTCAAACAGGGAGTTGGACCAGTCACATTGTAATAATGATGGCAAGCCAATTCCTTTTGCCAGACAAATTCTAACAGATGCTATCACAACTGTGTACTTTCAGCAGCCTTTTTTTACATACAGTGTGGACGAATGTCCCCACAGCAGAGTAAACTGAACACAAACAATCCTTCATAGTCTTATAACAAGACTCTTTCCAAAATCTAAACTAAGATTGTGAGAGAGTTATTCACACCACAGTTCCATTTTTTTTTTTTATTTTGAGGCACAAATCCCGTAAGTAAGATAATGTCTAGCTTTGGTTAATACTTACCTTGCCAATCAGCAGAAAGTATCTAAAATTACTTAAACTCCCCCCCACAGCACATAACTGAATTTTTCTCTTAGCTATCTTATCCTGTAATGGCAAGGGTTGAATGTATAAAATGTTCATAATCTATTAGCCAATAATATTCCCTGAACACAGCACTGTGGGAAATTGGGAATAATAGACATCATGTCTATTGTTAGAGTTGTTAAACTAATTGTTGAAATGCATTAAGTGCAACAATCAACATAAGACAGTGTGTCATGAAGGGTAAATTATGAACTGTGGGGTATATCCATTCATCTTTCAACACCTATTGAGCACCTCTGGTATTCCAGACACTGTTCTAGGTTCTAGGTACAGAATGATACAAAAAACATGGGGCTTACAATCTAGAAAGAGAGCAGATCTTAAAGACAAATCAAAGGTACAATGAGAGTGGGGAGCCCAGCCTGGAGGTAGTGGGGAGTATATAGGTGGACAGTCAGAAAAGCACATCAACTTTTATATTAAGGAAGAGGGAAGTTGGGAGAAGAGGTCAAGCCAAAAGTAGGTGAGAGAAGAGAGAAAGGCATTTTGGGTATAGGAATGGCATGTGCAAAGTCCCTGGGGCATAGAGAATAGGCAGGCGCTACTCAGGCAGAGAACAGATCACACATAGGGTTGGCATCATCATGAGAATTCTCAACTTGAGTCTAGGGTTGCAGAATGCCATTCAGGTTATGGAGAGGGGAAGAAGGGAGCAGGGTCTGATACACATTTCAGATCACTCAGGCTAAGGTGTGGAGATTGGCGATAATACACGTGGAAGAGTAGAGAAAACTGGGGGTATTGCACTGGATGAATGCACCATCTCAACTTCCTCCTTCCCCAGTCCCCAACCCTGATGTGTATGACATGATCCCAGACACCTTCTAGGAGGCAAACTGGCCTGAATTCATCAGCAGATGAGTGTTACTAAGATGACAAAGGTGCTAAAGAGTTGGGGTGACCCGTCGGCAGTCCCCATATCCCAGGAGGTGGGTTTTGTGTTTGTCTACATTCCTTAATTTCCTTTACCTCTTTCTAAGAACTGCCAATGCATTGTGAAGTTAAGCACCAACGGCAGGGCCAGCTTCCTGGGGGGTTCAACTTGTGTACTCACTCAGGGCCCTGTGCTTGAAAGGGTCGTGCCTGATTTCCTGGTCTCTGGTGCTGTGTTGAACAAGGTACCCTGAAAATGCCGTAACCCATCCTGCCTCAAGGCTTTGGCTATAGATCTCTTTCAGGAGTGCCCTGGGGTGCCTAAAACTCTAGGGGAACTCTTTTTTGAGTGTGGGATGGTCAGCTTCTTCCCCTCTTTCTTGTAAAACATACCAGAAGAACAGACTACTATTGGCAGCGATACTATGGTACTATCTAGACTCCTGCACCTTGCCACACCTCTCAGGTCTACCACAGAGAGAAACAGGATAAGGTCAGCCCTTCCTTCCCTGGGTCCCTTTGGGGACGTGGCTCCGGGGAGATGCCTGGTGTTCTAAAGGAAACTCAGCTCAGATTACACACCCGTTAAGGATACCCATCAACAGTTAAATTGTCTCTTTGGGTTAATTTTCCTATGTAGGCCCCCACAGTGGTTTATTCCCAACTTATTTTTCATAAAGTCTGTTCCTGTTATGGGAAGCTGGCCTTCCCACAGGTTATAAGTCTTCTTTGGCCAGGAAAATCATCCCTAAATTGCCGCCCAGGTCACTAAGAGACAAATTCATGTGGTCTTCCATGAAGCTTCCTAGTTACTATGCTCACTAGAATATCAAGCTGTGATGTCCTCATCCCTGACTCAAAAAAAAAAAAAAAAAAAAAAAAAAAGATACATTCACTTTAGCAAGCTAGCCGAGGAATAATATTACATTAAGCAACATGACTACATTTACAACCTCTGCTGTTTGGTCATCTTTGCAGCCTAGGGCAGACACAATGCGTCTGATGAGTTGTCATTTCCCATTGCAGAAGGCAATAATCCTTGAAGAAAATCAAAATCAAATCTCTATTTCTTGTTCAGGGTCATTATGGCCGTAGGTATGCAGAAAAACAAGGGACAGAAGGCTAAATCTTTTTCTCCCCCTACCTTCCTATACATAACTATTCAGTTCCCAGTGTAAACTCATCTCATTTTTCATGCTATTCACTTTCTCACCGAAAACCATCACTGCATATTAGTAATCTCCTCACATGTGGGATCTTCCACTGTGAGGCCAGCTCACTGCAGAGACATCATTTCGTACTGAGAAAAGACAGAGGAAATGGCTGACACTCGTGCCAGATGCCCTGTGATTTGACATATTGCAGGAAAAAGTCAGAAACCATTTAAAACAGGACGTCTGTGCTCTGTACAGTGCCAGGCACGAGTTCAAATGCTGCCAAGGATTCTTGAGCTCAGTTAGCATTTGAGGTATTTTCAGGGGCCAAGACTGGGGTAAAAAAGCCAAGAGGTCCATCAGGGTGAGTGCGGAAGACCTTGGGGTGATATTGTTGATGATGGAGGGTGGGCCAGGAGAGTAGGACGAGTGTGGGTGGCAGGGTGCTGGGGTTGCCCCTCGCAGAGCAACAAAAGTACACAACCAGCCTGGTCTCCTCTGATTGGACAAAGCAGTAGCCCCTGATCTTAGCTGGACCAATCAAATTCCCTCCCCTAGAGATACAGACCGAGGACGCAGAATCTTCCCCCCTTTGGCAAAGACTTCCTCTGATTCATTCCATTTTTGTTCTTATCTCAGCTTGAGATGACTGTGTGCCTTGCAAGCAAGCCATCACTGACAGACACCAATTCTAATGATTCTTTCAGCCTAGGCCGCGAGGGTGCCCACATATTTATAATACAGTGTGTCCCCAAAGTTGCCCCTATGGTCGCCATACACGGGGAAGATGGGAAATTATAGCTAAAGGGCCCTTGCTGTGACATTCATTATAAAATACCGTATTTATAAAATACCTTCTAAATGTTGGCTCCCTCTTTGTAAAATTTGGTAATGAATCATTGGTCAAGAAAGGCCCATTTGGTTACAATTCCCCATTTCCCCTTGGCATGGTAACCTTAGGGGTGACTTTTGGGGCACCTTGCATTAGTGATAACCATGAAGTAAGCCAAACTCTCTGGAGCTGTAGTTCCTAATATTGTGTATTTTATGGATTAAATTTCTTAAAAAAAAAGACAATATTGGGGGTTATAGTATTGGGATGTTAGTTTCATTCGGCCAAGTTAGAGAAGTTACAAAAACCTTACTGTCTGTGGTACGATAATTATCGCAAGAAAGGAAAGCTATTTTAATACCAAAAAGGGAGGTAGTATACTCACACAATTTCAGATGTGACCTATTGAAAAAGTCTTTGTGTTAGAGTTACTGTCCTCATTTTGTCCCATGGGAAACCCGTGCTCGGTCATATCTCTATAGTTTGGTGTTTCAAGCCTCTACCCTCAGAAGCCTCTTACTTTCTGGGGAAGCAGAGGCTGGTAGGAATGCTCTCTGAGCCACATGAGCAGAGCAGGAAGCAAGGGACCGCAAAACTGGATTTTCCTCCTTGCTCCATGGAGACCCATGATGTCAATCTCTGTTTCCATCACCAACCTTCAAGGAATTTCCCTAAATCACTGCGTGACCCGTCCATGCCAACCCAAATGGGGTAATGTGGGAAGGAGGTGGTCTGTGCAGTCAGACACCAAACCTCACTTTGTCTCTTCTCTTCTTCAAAGAGGACTTTCTGTCCCAAGATGCTGATGATACAGGTTCTGCACAGTTCTCCCCATCCTCTTCACATGCAACTGAAGTTGGCTCTCCAGGAATATTCTCCTCCAGTGATAGGGTGTGTGGAGAGAAGAAGAGTTGGCATATTAGGTGCCTGCCACCCTGTGCCAGGTGGTTGTCACCTGGTCATCTCATTTAACCTGCCCTCCCTTTCACAATACTGGCCACCACTGAGAAAACAGAGATGCTAAGTAGCTTGGCTGTGAGATTCTAGCAAATGAAGGAACTCAGATCAAGTGCATAGGAGTCCAGCTGACATCTGGGGATGCTGGCTCTCATGCAGTTTCTACCCAAAGCTGGTCAGCCTATAACCTCACTGAGTCATAGTTTTCTCATCTGTAAGGTCAGGGATTGAACTAGTGGGTATTTAAGATCTTTTTTAGGATTAAAACTTCCTAATTCTCGGCTCGACGCCTATAGCTCAACCGGCTAAGGCGCCAGCCACGTACACCTAAGGTGGCGGGTTCGAATCCCCAGCCCGGACCCGCCAAACAACAATGATGGCTGCAACCAAAAAATAGCCGGGCGTTGTGGCGGGCGCCTGTGGTCCCAGCTACTTGGGAGGCGGAGGCAAGAGACTCGCTTGAGCCCAGGAGTTGGAGGTTGCTGTGAGCTGTAATGCCATGGTACTCTACCCAGGGGAAAGCTTGAGGCTCTGTCTCAAAAAA